GGGTTTAGGGTTTAGGGAGGTAGCCAAAAGCATCAGTTACTGTGGAGACAAAGTACGGCCTTGAGACTGTAGAACTACCGACAATGGGTGACTAGTCACGAGTTTCCTTTGCTTCAAGACTAGTATACATACCTGAGCACACGCACACAGATTTTATATAGTAAGAACCCATACATAAATACATGAACAAAGGAAAATAAATGAACACACACACACACATGTGTGTATACATATATATATATACACACCCATATTCATATTTATGTTTGTATGTACATCTCTATTACAGTTTGGGTTTCTGGGCGCAGTCGTCGCAAAGTGTGTCAGCCGCTTTGGCCGTCTTGAGGCCTATACCCTAAACCCTAAACCCTAAACCCTAAACCCAGGTAAGTAGATCGTATCAATGGCAATAGTATCCTTCGGGATTTGACCTGTCGGTGTTTCTGAGGCTCAGGGTTTGGAGTTTAGGGTTTAGGGGTTTAGGGTTTAGGGTTTAGGGGTTTAGGGTTTAGGGTTTAGGGCCTTTATATCATCTGGCATTCCCTTTCTGCCCAGTTTCAAGATCCAGAGTGCCCCAGGAATAGTGTTGTTGTGAGTGCAGAATACGGTTTAGGGTTTAGGGTTTAGGGTTTAGGGTTTAGGGTTAGGGTTTATGCCCACCAACAACAACGGGTGGCAACCACAGAGAAGTCACCAACAAAATCACAGCAGCAACAACAACAACCACAACCGCAATCACAAATACAACCCCAACAACGGGAGCAACAGCAACAGCAAACAACAACCACACAAACAACAACAAAACTACTAGTCTAGTAATAACGATGCTACTACTTCTTCTACTACTACCCTGACTGCCACGACGCCGCGGCCACCGTCTTTGACATTGAGCATTTAATCTCGCAGCTCCAAAAATTAACTATGTCCCTGACCGCAAATGCCGGATCTCTAAACCTTTCCTCGCCCTGTCCCAGGCCTGGATCAAAGAGGTGATACGCGGTTGGGGTTATGATCTCCCGGATGACGGGTCGCTTGCTGCGCTCCAGGCTGACGTAGTGGAATTGGGCTCCTTGTCCTTTCAGTTAGCCCTTCAAGAACATGTTGGTAAACTAGTGGGGTCTTACATACGGGCTTATGGGCCATGCTGCGCCACATGATTTGGAAACTTGGCTCCTGACCTAACCTCCAACTCTTAGTAGCATGGTAAATCGGACCCCTTCTTGCGAGTCCGTAAACTCGAAGTCATACGTAACAAGCAAACCCTAAACCCTAAACCCCTAAACCTAAACCTAAACCCTAAACCCTAAACCCCTAAACCCCTAAACCCAGCAACCCACGATTTAGGAAACGGGAGCCTCGGAAATAGTCAGATGCAAAGGTTCTGGGTACATCTTCATCATGTTGCTCCTGGAGGCCGGGATCCCTGCAGGCTAGACCCTGAAGGGTCTAGGGTTTAGGGTTTAGGGTTTAGGGGTTTAGGGTTTAGGGTTTAGGGGTTTAGGGTTTTAGGGTTTAGGATTTGGGGGTTTAGTGTTTAGGGTCTACCTGGGCCCTGAAGGACTTGCCTTTTTGAGGACTCCCTCGGGCTAACTCCCAGTCTCAACAGCCGGGAGGCAAAGACTTGCAAGCGAACGTCAGAGTGAGATCGAAGAATGGCAGTTCGGCAGCTCGGCCCAACCACTCTGAACGGTTTAGGCGTATTCGTTTGTTTTTTTGAGGGGGTCTCAGGGGTTCTTTGGGGTTTTTGAGGTTTTGAGGGTCTTAGGGTTCTCAAGCCCAAGCCTTGTGCTACCTTCTAATACGCAATCGGCTGTGATCTTCAACATCAGATCCAGGGTATACCCTCACACCAATATCCCCAAGCAGCCAGCGAAACCCTAAACCCTAAATCCGCTGCCGTGAGCAGCAAGGCGGCGTCTAATAAGCGAAAAGCAAAATCCACACTTCGACCCGACCTCGAAACAATGAGGAAAAGGGGTCCTTGGTAACAACCAAAATAGACACCTTCAGCCCCAACCCCCCGCACAAAAGCAGCTAAACCCTTGAAACACCCCTTTCCAAACAAAGCTAAACCCTTGAGGCCCTTGAGGTACCCTAAACCCTATAGACCCTTGAGGTCAAGTATGAGCTGGTTGGAACGAATCACACGACCATCCGCTTGTGCAATGCATCTTGGTGGTCCCGAGTTCGTAGGGTCCCTAGGAGCAGTGATAGTAAGGGTTATGGTATGCTGGAGTTTATTTTGGGTGTATTCCGGGAAATTACCATAGTCTATTCTAGATATAAGTCAATTACCATAGTCTATTCTATATAAGTCATATCTTATGGGTCTATAAGGAATCTAAGAGGGCTTTTAAAGGGATCTATGGGTTCCATATGGGATTTATATAGGCCCAATGGCCTTGGTTAAGGGCTTCGGGTTTAGGGTGAGCGTTTTTGCTTAGGGTTCAGAGGCTTTTCTGCCCCAAACCCTAAACACTGAACCGTAAACCCAAAGCCCTAAACCCTAAACCCGAAACCCTAAACCCGAAACCCTAAACCCTAAGCCCCAAGCCCGAAACCCTGGGCCCGATAACTCTCCTTGAAGGAGTGGCCAGGCAGCTCGGTTTGGGGCTTCGGATTACTGGGTTCTTGCTCCATGGGATTCAAGCACTGAAGGCCCTATGCCCTTCCTGGAGATCCTAGCACCTATTGCTTTAAGGGTTCGGGTTTAGGGTGTAGGGTGTAGGGTTGAGGGTTGAGGGTTGCGGGTTTAGGGTTTAGGGTTGAGGGTTGAGGGTTTAGGGTTTAGGGTTTAGGGTTTAGGGTTACGGTTACCTTAATCTCGAATGACCTACCTTTTTAAGGAACTTGTATCAAGAAATCGTCAGAAGGAAAAGTATACCCTTATAGTTACGGGGTCATAACCTATTTTGTAGGTTTTGGGGCTGCAGGTCAGGAGTTTAAGGCTCAGGGTTTGCAATTTGAGATTTCGCGCCGGGGGTGCGTGGACTTCTGCGTTTAGGGATTAGGGTTTAGGGATTAGGGATTAGGGTTTAGGGCTTAGGGATTATATAGGGTTTGGGGTTTAAGACCGAGGGCTCGTGTGTTTGGTGCTGTGAGATCGGAGGTCAAAGCCCTTGAGGTGGAGTCAAAGCACTCCGATGGGACGACTCTGGGCCTTTGTTCAGAAACCAGAGCCAGGGGATTTTAGTCCAAGTTATCATAGTAGGGACCTACTTAGTTCTCCGATACCCAACCTTTAACCCGTTTGGGTTCTCATAGTTTAGTAGAAATCTGACAGTTTAACCTTTTATTTTCGTGGCTTTTTGGGGAAGTAAGTCTGTAGTACATCATCAGGATGGTTTGCTGATTCTGGTACCAGTAGCCAGTAGCTTAAACCGAACCCTAAACCCTATAAACCCTAAGTCCTGAACCCTAAACCCTAAACCCCCCAAAAAAACCCTAAGTCCTGAACCCCAAAGAAAGAACCCTAAAGCCTACGGAGGATTCTGGCAGCCACGGCCACTGTTGACGTAGCTGCCTGGGCTCCACAGCTGAAGTGCCGTGGCTGCTTTAAGCCTCAAGCCTGTGGGATGACAAGAGGGTTTAGGGTTTAGGGTTTTAGGGTTTCGGAGGGGTGAGGGTTTACCGCATATTATTTAGGGGTTTGAGGGTTTCGGAGGGTTTATGGTCTCACAGGGTTTAGGGTTTAGGATGAAGTGCTTTAGGGTTCAGGGGTGTAGAGTTTTGGGTTTAACCTATAAGGGCTTAAGAGGTTTAGGACTTAGGGCTTGTTCGGGGCTTTAGACACTCTACTATAGAAGCCTAAATAAATACCAATATTATTCCGTAGGGTCCTTGATTATAACTGTACTATAGAGGACATTAAACCCCAAACCCTAAAACCCTAAACCCTAAAACAATAAAGCCCTAAATGCCTTGACCCCTGCCACGACAGATGAGGATCTGAAGCCAAAAAAGCCCACAGATATGTCCATACAGTATAACTGTGTACACATTACATATATACATATACGTACAAACGAAAAAATACATATATCTATATATGTATTTTTATATCTCTATCTATATATATATATATACACAAAATAATGTGTATGTATATATATATATATATATATGTATATGTTGCATTGTATACACGGATATAGGCCCAGCACCGCACGATTCCAAGCACATAAGAACCCCTCAAGGCCCAAAATCCTGATCCCAACACAGAAAGCTTCAAACCCCGAAACCCATCTACACGCGCCAATCCCTGTAGTACCCTTGAAGGAACTTGCACAGGACCTCAAGACCCTAAACCCTAAACCCGATCCCAAGGCGAAACGGCACCCATGTCTACGTCTTCAGCGATGTAATGATCTCGCCATGGAGGGAGAAGGAGAAGCGAGATTGGTGGTACCGCGGCGAAGATGGTCAGGATTTAGGGCTCGGGGTTTTGGGAGTTTGGGAAAGTGCAGTTTATCGGGTTTAGCAAAGTCTAGAGTCTAGGCTTGCGTTGCGCTTATCAACACCATTCGTGATCAACATGTATTTGGGCTTGTCCGGCGTCGCTTGTTTGGTTGCTGATGCTCCGTAAACCCTAAACCTTCAGCCTGAACCATAAACCCGAACCCTAAACCCTCAACACTAAACACTAAACCCCAAAACCCCTAAACCCCTAAACCCCTAAACCCTAAACCCTAAACCCTAAAACCCCAAAACCCAAAACCCCATCCCAGAACCAGGGATGCGATGTGCTTTGCGGAGTTTTGGGGGATCGGGTCTTGGTTTTTCGGAGTCCAAGGGGTGCAGAGTTTCAGGGAAGAGTTCGTGGGTAATTCTCCAAATTAGGGTCCCTTTTAGGATCCGTTTTATAAGAGTGTTGTACTATTTTGGAGACCTAAAAAGTGACATTTTGGAGAACTGCGCTCGTAGATGTTCGTAGCAGCATTCGGAAGATAGTACATATACACCAGAATCCGAATCTAGTCACTGAGTCCTCCTTTCCTGTATTGGCCAGTTGCGGGGGCTGCAGCCAAGGTGCTTGGGGTTTAGCAAATTGGGTTGTGCCCTTTGCCCGAATCGTAAACCTGGACTCCGAAAACAGGAACTCCCTTCGCCCTAAACCCAGAATCTTAAGCCTTAAACCCCCTTAAACCCTAAATCCTAAACCGTAAACCCTAAACCCTAAACCCAGAATCTTAAACCATAAACCCTGGTTTTCCAAAAGGAATCTGTGGGGCTGCTGCATCTACCCTTCCTTTGGCCTCATTGCGCTGACCGTTGCCTGGCTCGTGATACAAGCGCCTCATCCTGAGAAGAGAGTCGAAGGCTCCTGGGTTTACGGTCTGGGGCTGGGGGATCGTATTTCGGGTTTTTCGGATTGAAGGATTGGGGTTTCACATTTCGGGTTTAGGATCCCTAAACCCTAGACCCTAAAGCCTAAACCCTAGGGTTTGGGATTTAGGGCTTAGGGTAGTGGCCTTTAGGGTTTAGGGCCCTGGGTTTAGATTAGTTCCCATGTCAGGAGAGGCGGGGGATTCTGAAAATGAGGGGTTTGCGGTTTAGGGTTTAGGGTTTGGGGTTTAAGGTTTAGGGTTTAGGGTTTAGGGTTTGGGGTTTGGGGTTTGGGGTTTAGGGTATATGGTTGGGGGTTCTGAAAATGAGGGGTCCTTGTAGGTAGGATCCTGTTCCTCGGAGTTTCTGACGTTTTACCGGAGCCTTGTGGGATTGATAAGAGCTCAATATAGGGGGCCTTATTGATTGCCAATCTTACTTTGGTTCCTTACTAGAAATATAGTATAATGGGTCCCAAGACCCTATTCCAATTAGCAAGGCCCCTATACTGTTGATGGACAAAATCCTGCATGACCCAAATATAGTATAGTACCATAAATCCCATAGTTTTGGTGGTATATAAGGTCATGCAGGATTTTGTCCATCAACCGTATTAACAGGTTTTGACTGGGTGTCATAGATAGCTTTGGGCTACCGAACTTGGAAGTCTTGCTGGGCTTTTGACAGCCTATAACCATAAGGCTCTTGGTATTTGTTTATCGGTCTCATGGCCTGGAAGTTAAGCCTTGATATTTTCGGGAAGTTAGCATAGGATGCGGAACATGTTGCTGGACAAATGTATAGCCTTAATTCTCAGACTATAGGGTTTTGGGGCCCCTGATACTATACTTATAATGTGGAACCCCCAAACTAGTATAGGCATTTGTTTAGGCTTTAAATTCAAAAAAGGAACCCTCAGCAATAATGTAGTAGGTAATCATTTATTTCGGCCCCTATGTTAGGGGGTAGAGTGGCAGAGAGCCCTAAACCCTAAAGCCTAAGCCCTAAATCCTAAACCCTAAACCCTAAACCCTAAACCCTAAATCCTAAATCCTAAACCCTAAACCCTAAACCCTAAACCCTAAACCCATACGGAATCCCATGTTCAGCCTTCGGAGACCTTCGAGTTCGGGGAGTGTTGGATACTCGAGTTTGGGGTTTGGGGATTAGGGTTTTAAGGTTTAGGGTTTAGGGTCTTAAGGTTTAGGGGTTAGGGTCTTAAGGTTTAGGGTTTAGGGTTTAGGGTCTTAAGGTTCAGGGTTTAGGGTTTTAAGGTTTAGGGTTTTCAGGTTTAGGGTTTAAGGTTTAGGGAGGGTTTAGGGTTTGGGGTTTTAAGGTTTAAGGTTTAAGGTTTTTGGTTTAGGGTTTTAAGGTTTTAAGGTTTAGGGTTTAGGGTTTAGGGTTTTAAGGTTTAGAGTTTAGGGCTTTAAGGTTCTAATCTTTAGGGTTTACTTGTAGAACTTGGGGTTTTTAGTGGTGAGGGCTCACTCGCAGCCGTCTG